TCGATTGATGCGTGATGGATATCTAAATGAATACGTTGAATTGATTGAGTATATTGATTAAAGTGATGGTTGAACAGAATGTTGGAGTTGTTTAGGCAAGTGCTTGAATGGACATGGCTTGATGTTACATTTTGGTTTACTTTGATAAGCATAACTGTACAACACTATTCATTAACATCTAATGTTTTCTAATTCATAATCTAATAGTATTCATAAATGATCTTCTTTCTAAACCAATACACAATATCTATGACAACTTTATAAAATATAAATCTGATTACAAGATATATTAAGTTATGAAACAGTATAAAGAATGCATTGAAAGTCTTGAAAATACATTGACAGTTTTAGAAAACTATCGATAAACTGCACTAACAACTAACCATCCAATATTAAGTATACCACATATAGATCCAGTAGCTGCTAACATGACGGAAAATGGTCGTCTCCATCCACCCGTTTCAGGTGTCGTCAAATTCCAATAAAACAATGCAGGCATCACAAAACACATGATAACTCCACCTGTTCCTCCAACAAACGACAGTACATCTTCCAAAGTGTTAAACCACAAGGACATGAGGTACGTGAATACAAGAATAGATGTGGTTAAAATGTAACTGCGAGAATGCTCTTGCTGCATGGCACTATGTAGCGATCTGTGAGCATACCAAAACAAATTCGAAGTCATGTATGGAGCAGCTGTAATTGGTGAAGTAATGGTTTCTGCAAGAGTGTGATAAGCAAGAAGACGAGTGTATCGAGATTGGTAGGCAAATGTTGTCAAGACTGAATCAAGACATGCACGACACGGGTGCACTTGAATCGGAACAGACAGTGCAGCAAGCAAAGCGTACATGAGTCTTGCAAACGTAATAAACGGTGTGTCTGGAACTATATAAAGAGTGTTTGAATCAGCAAATATGATTTAGAATTGCTATACAATAAAATCGACAATAGCTTACAATTATCAAGAATTAAAACCATTGAAGAGTTTCCAAAAGCTAAAAATCCGCATATTCCCACAGCAAGATACAGAATTGCTACAGCAATAATACTCAGATCCACAACACGACGAATATGTCGAACTGTTTCTGGAGCAACACTCTCGCCACGATATGTTGCTCCAACTTCATTATAGACTGAAAAAATCTACAGTAGCAATATAAACCACAAACGTTAAAGTAAAAAAAACAACATAGTGAATAGAATGCAATTAAATGAGCTCACGTTTTGATGGCATGTAAACGCAAATATATAGATGGATATCGTTTGAAATGCTTCTATTCGGACAGAAAACCAAGGAATGTCCTCGTGTTGATCAACACCTTTGTGTGGATGTGGTGCAGAATAGCTCAGCAGGATCACCGCAAACGCAATATAAAGTGCAGCACCAAGACACGTTGACGAAAACCACCAAAACTCATCCACCGATTTTGCATAACACAATGGTGCAATCAAAACTAGAAATGCTATAAAGATTGGACCAACATTAGCATATAATCATGAATAGAAATACAAACTAGAACCAATCTAAACCATCAAAGTAAAATCAAACTCACCAAACATCCAAAACTGCGGAATTTGAAATAAATGGTACAACCACGAACCAACAATAAATTCAGGAAACAGTATTGCTGCAGCCTTAGGCATTGAATCAGCTATGGATACCAAATAGGATACAGCAAATCCATAGCAACAGGCCGACATGGCAATATCTGCCCACATTGCTCCTTGACGACCCATGGCTGTCCTAGCCAATGCACCATATGATGGCTCACCTTCTTGAATAAATAGCGATGTTTGTTGAGGAATACGGCCAGTACCAGTTCCATATGCCAACTGTGCAGATGAGATCAACAGTCGAACAGAAAACCATGTCGCGGCAGCTGAGCACAAAATTAAAAACGATCCATAGCCAATACCAACCGTGGCAAAAGCATATGGAATGCTCATTAGTCCGGTTCCCATGATGGTGTTACATAAATCAATCGTAGATGTAAGAACTGATGGACATGGTCGACCATGAGTATTGACTGTAGAATTGACTGTATTCCTGCGTAAAAACGATCCCTGGCGTAAATATCGAGAATCAATTGTTTCTTGACTATCTGATTGATGCAATTCTTCTGGTTCAGTCTTGTATATGCGATTACCATCGAGACTGTTGCTGAGTAATGAGTCTGCACTAGTCCGTGTTCCACCATAATCAGGAAATTCCATAGAACGTGCACTTGCAAACGATCCATGTATATACATACTATTGGTGGTAGTATTGTGTGAAAAACTGTTAGGAGTAGCCATAGATGCATCAAATATATCAAAATTAGGATCATTGTACAGATCAATAGGCACCGAAGGACGTCTTGAATGAAACGATCCATCATCACGAGAAGGAGATCCAAACAAAAAATGACTGCTACTACTGCTTCTAGCAGCCATTTTGTTTTCTATATTGTTGTTGTGCATGAAATAGATTGAATCAGATGGACGTGGAATACCCAATTCAGTCGAGGGCGGATATTCTGGGCTATTTGGAAACGGCGATTGCAACAAGCTTTCATTGTCATTTGCATTGAAGTAGTTGGAGTTGATTGCAGGAGATAGCAGCGATCTTGTGATTGAAGACACAGTTGATGTGATGATGGGTGAATGGAACAAGGATTGAGAAGTAGATGCTTCGGGTGATTGAGAAATGTGCGAATTATCGTGTGAAAAATCAGCCATAGAACTAGATTCAGTTATTGAAGCAGGAATATTAGCAGATGATTGATGCCGAGAATCCATACGCCTGAGTTCTACAGAAGCCGGAATGGTGAATGAATGACGATGTTTAAGCGTACTGTGTGGTGTAGCGTTATTTCGATTGACGCGAGTGCTATAGGCAGAAGCAGCGGGTATATGTTCTCTTTGAAGATCCATAAGAAGTTGCTGTGATTTGTGTTTATGGTACAGAGCAGCTTGTCTTCGATTACTATTATTACTACTAGCATGAGTAGGATTGTCTATATTATTATCGTGGTTTAAAAACGGTGAAGCCATGCTCGCGCTACGATTGAAAACCTTCCGAACAAGCCTTCGTTGAGGAGTCAAATGCTGATGAGGATGTCCATTTTCTCCACTGGAATAACCATTACTACTGCTACCCGAGGCGATGGTGCTTTTGATAGCCTTGGATGCATGTTGGTGTAAAGGTCGTGGTGGTTGAGTGTAATAAGGATGTGGATGATGAACATGTCGAATATTGCTGGAAGTGCCATGTTTTACACCAGTGGTAGCAGTCTCGACACACTCTGTACTCTCTACTAACCCATCACTGTCTTCCACTTGCTTTGAATCCATGTCAAGTCAAACCTGGATTGCAATTTGTGGCCATTCAAGCATTTTGGTTGTTTGGTTTTGGCCAATTTTGACTATTTTGGCCATTTATTTTCTGTCAAGAAATTCATCTTTTTATACATTTGATAATGTGTGAACTGGAGTTGAATGTGTCGAGTATAATTGATAAAAGTCGAGTTTATTCGTGTTTAATACGAAACTAATCCCATTTTTCATGTACAATTCTATGAGTTTATTTAGTCAAACTCTTGTCATATCTACTATTGGATTCTCGTAATTGATTCTCTAGATCTCGAATTCGCTCCAATAACTGTGCTGTTAATCCTTCCTTGTCATGATTGCATGAACATGTCCAATCTATTGGCGTCTGAACACATTGGTCTTGCATTACTGTGTTAGGATAATTCAAAACAGTCTTGCTGCCAATAACAGCATGATCGATTTGCTCCTTGTCTATATTCACTTCATCGGTTTGGATATGCATTTCAGTCACATTGCGATGTTTGTTTTTTTGTAAAGCATATTCAAATAGTTTTAAATCCACCAGCAATTGTTGTGCAGTCGGTCTTTTTAGTGGATCTTCTGCCGTCATGCATAGAATAAGTGTGGCCTGTCACAATCCATGTTTTAAAAAACAATGCGTTACATTCACACATCAATTGTGATTCTGGAAATCTGAGCAAGTAGTTTACCTCTTTTGGATATTCCTTGACAAGCAGATCTGGAAGAATTCCTGATCGTAGATTACTGATCAATGTTGCTCGCTCCATTCCTGTTCGGCAGACACATAACAATTCAAAAAGTATAATTCCTAGCGAAAATATATCCGATGAGTGCGTGTACCAATCTGATTGTTGCGGATCAAGTTGTTCAGGTGATGCATACTACTCAATATGTAAGCATGTGCTGTGTTGATACATTTTAGTCTGCTGTAGAGCAACTTACAGTTATCGTCCCCACTCCAATGGTTCGCGCAACTCGTTTGGAATGACTTTTTTCTGCTGGTAAAACAGTATCTGACAAAGTGGGTGATAACGAAATAGGCAATTCAGATACAGTCGCCAGTCCAAAGTCACCAAGCTTCCATTCTCCTCGACTTGAACTTCCTTCATATGGTTTCCAATAAATATTTTTTGGCTTGACATCTCTGAAAATTCATGCAGTTACAAATCGTATTAGTACTATACTCGATCACTATGCTACGCATTATCTAAAAACATCGATTTTGGTCAAATGTCAACATAATATCAAAAAATACCTGTGAACCAAGCCTTGAGAATGGATACAAGCAAGTCCAGACAAAATATGACTAAAGCAATCTATAGCAGCACGTTTTCGTTTAGCAGATATCATTCTGTCAGTGCAGGCATTTTGTCTTTCCAGCCAGTCGTGTAATGTGTTTTCGCACAATTCCATTTGAATAAACAATGCCAGTTCACGAAAGTTTGGACCCTGGACACATACTGCAGATTCAAACAAGTCAGGTTGTTGAGCTGGCACAATAGATGTAATGCGATCGCTTTGGTGTTCTTGTAGAAATGTTGCATCACATTCTGGTGCTTTTTGCTCAAACACAATTTTTGAATATTCAGTTTCTATAGATGACAATACTGATTCTAATGAAGATGTATCAACACATGACGTGGAATCATCTGACAGATCACTAGCATCAGTAGAACATTCATTCGGTACTTGTACATGTTCTAGCCACGATGAATAGTATCGCACAACATGTGGATCTGCCACTCTAGCGAGTAATTTGACTTCTCGAAGCACCTGAATATATTGTAGTATGAGTTTCATATAGCTGTTTGATTACCTCTAATAACACAAACCAGCACTAATCATACC